TTAGGAACAATTAGTCAAATGAGTTACTGAAAAAAGATGTTTCTAAGACCCTACATACATGGGTTACAAGTGCTACCTTCTATGTGGAAAATTTAGTAAGTGGCTGCTATTAAGAATTTTAAAACTCTTTATACGGAAATTGTTGTAAAAGGAGATGCACATGTTTTATTCACAAACATTGACCCTGTATGCGCATGAGTGTGAACTCGCCAATTTCAAGGTTAACTGTTCATAATTAGATACCAGATACACTGAATGAACCACCACTACTCAACATTTACTAAAAGAATTTAAAAGTATCCATCACTATAGAAAATTTTAGATGAATCAGGACTATAAGAACAAGAAAACCTATCATGATGAGAAGTAACTGGTTTACATACTTTGAAAATAATGAAAAGAGGGCTGGGGGATAAATATAGAAGGATTTTAGTTGATTAAGAAAGACTAAGAGCAATAGTAAAAATAAGAAATGCAATGGGGGTACGATGTACACAATTCAGGTGATGGCTACACTAAAAGCCTAGACTTTACCATTAAGTAATACATCCATGTAACAAAACTGCACTTGTACCACCTGAGTCTATAAAAAGAAAAAAAAAAAAAAAAGAAATGCAATAGTGCAACGGGAGAAAACCAATTTCTAAATACTAAAGATCTAGAAGACAAAATCTATATCAATTAATAGGGCTGAGCAGTGGTTAAGGTATTCTAATTGTTCTCACAGAGTATAATAGCATGTCCTCCTGAAAGATTTGCTAACGCATTATGATCAATTCCACTATATGTTTGTTTATTCTAAGAGAACATAATAAATTTTTATGGCAAATGATTTCTTCCAGAGTTTGGAATAACTGGCATTGCAATAAAACACAGGTGTTTCAGACAGTAAGACAGTAAAACATATATATATATATCAAAATATTAATAATAATTTTACCACAAAAGGAAACAGAAAAATGTATTTCTTTAAATGCTTGTAAAAAATAACATCCATAATGAAAACAATTTTCTCTCTGAGTAGTAAGAGGAGGTCACCTTATTTAGCACGGAAGTAATCATCTTCTGAGTCCTCAGGAAGTAGGGTCAAACTTCTCAACTTAGAAGCTTAGTTGCATATTATAAAACCTTTCCATTAAAGATAGCTCACCACTAAACATTGGTCCCACACAAAACGAATAATCAGAAAACACACAGGGGGAAAAAATCCAACATACTCAGAGTGTCAAGTAGAAAAAAAAAGTAAAACAAATGCTTATTTTATGGTTTGCTAAAATTATAAATTTTGTTAGAGATTCAAAAAGAAAATATTATTCTTCCAACTTTGTCAAAATAGACTACATTTTCCTTTAGAAGCACATAAGCATCAGTGAACAAGGGAGCTAGAAACCTGTCCACTGAAAATCCAGAGGATATTATTGGTATTCAGTGCGCTGGGCTTCACAACAATGACTTGACAAAGCCTTGACACTAAAAGTACTTGTATCTGCTGTCAATCACTCACTCCTTGACAAGTCAAGTGCACAGCCTTTCAGGGACAACTTCAATCAACATTAGCACTCAAAATACAGTACGCAGTGTCACTGCTTCAGAAATGAGAGGAAAAATAAAACGTGTTACATGGCAGGGAAAGGCAGAATGTGGATAAAAATTATTGAGCAAGTTGGAAGGCTGAAATCAGATAGTTTACATGAATTTCTTTGGGGGAAAAAATGCTCTTTTGCCATACATCCTGTAAGAGAAAATTTTAATAACCTATCATAGAGGCTGACAAGGTCCACACTGTAATGAACCTTAAATTTACAAATCTGCCTTGCACACCAGATTATTAGAACCAGGAAACTAAAGTTAATTTGGGAAGGGGGAGAGGATACCTAGATGTGATTTTTTTTCTTTTTTTAGAGACAAAGTCTTGCTCTGTCATCCAGGCTGGAGAACAGTGGTGTGATCATAGCTCACTGTATCCTCAAACTCCTGGGCTCAAGGGATCCTCCTGCATCAGTCTTTCAAGTAGCTGGGACTATAGACATGCAACGCCATGTCAGTTAATTTTTAAAAAGTTTTTGTAGAGATAGGATCTCACTACATTGTCCAGGCTGGTCTTGAACTCCTGGCCTCAAACAATCCTCCCATCTTGGCCTCCCAAAGCTCTGGGATTACAGGCATGAGCCACCATGCCTGGTGTAGATGTGGTTCTAAGACATGAAAAGAATCTGACGCAATTGTATGTGTTGCTCCATTATATTTTCATTCATACATCTTTTTCTTTTTAACCTAGTTCTCACTTTCACTCCTCCCTCTACTTTTCCCTCATTCTCTTAGAAAAACAGAGTGAAAGAACAAGGGGTCTTTCTATGTTCAAATTAGTATTGATTAATTAGATGACAACTCTGGACAAGTTATTTAACTTTTCTAAACCCTATCTTGCATATGTATAAAATATGTTCAATAATCCAAACTTTACAAGGTTGCTATAAAGACTAAATGACATAGTATTTGTACAGAAAGCATGTAACAGTGATTGGCACAGGAAGAATTCCATATACACCTATCTTCCCCTCTCCCCTTCTGATTCTGTTACTTTTTACTTGGCAATTGCACCCACGTGCTTTCTTGGTCTCACTAAGAGAGCTAAAGGGAAAGATGCTGATGTCATCTTCAGTACACTATAAGAGAGATAACCATGGATACTGAGAACTCAATCAGTCTGTGTGAACACTTATTTCACAAACCATGACCTATAACCCAACAATTTGCTTGTCTTATTTTGATTGGTATAGTCCTCCCAGTGTCAGGCATTAGCCATGTGCCAATCTGGTGTTTGTCAGCTGCAGAGGATAAATGTGTAGCCTACTCAGACTACACACAAAAAAATACACTTTGGAGGCATTATACAAACTTAAGCTCCAGTAGAATTTATAAAAAGTGGCAGATAAGAGCAAAATTATCAAAAGTATGTCTTCTACTGCAGCCATAATTAGTTTTCGTTACTATGACCTGATAAGCCATTAAAAGCTGGAGAAATTAGACACATTTTAGAAAGTAAAAACCACCCTAATTTAAAAAACTGTAAGGGCAAATGTAGACAATGCTTTGGATTAGCATTTATTTCAATGCCTCTCACTAAAATAATTTGTGTCATATTTTCAATCATCCAATAGGCAAGCCCTGTACTTGACGCTAAATTTTATTTTTTCTGCTGACTCCATTCACTTCACAGTCTTCCCACTCCAGTAGAATTGAAAAGACCAGCGGCCTTGTGTGGATGCCCTACACAAGAGGGAAGTAAGATTTATGAAGTACAGGAAGAACACACTTCACTACTGAAGAAGGTAGATTTCTATTTTTTTCAAGTTCAACAGATAACTGAATATATAGAACATCTATACTTTTCTCTTTCACTTGGTATCCTTGCCTTTTTTTTTGCCCTTTATGTACATGTTATTAAACTTTTAGAGCCAAGAACTGCCAAAAGCCACAAAGCAGTCACTCCCCCTGAGATTAGAAGAGGAAATGAAACATTTTTATTTTCATCTAAAATGGTGATTTAAGTACTCAAATTTCATACCAAACTAATCTACCTACACATGTAGATTAAAAGCTACTTAGCAGCAATAGCATCAGAAAAGAAAGTTCTCATCACCCTGGGCAGTTCACACTAATAATTAGAAAGAAAAAAGGAAAGCTGAGAATTACGATGAACTAAGACTAAATAAGTGTCCATGTTGGATTAAAGGATTTGAGTTGTCAGTTTGATGTATAATGAATGTGAAAATCAGCCACTTAATTAAATGGTACATGGTATGATCACTTTGTTCTGCATTAAACCACTGAAGTTATCAGAGTGCCTTTAGTTTAGCAATTGTTTACTGTTACACTACCCCATGACTTCTCTCAGACACTGTTTAGCCTATATTATTCCAAATCTGAAATCTAGAATTTACATAGTAATGTTGATTTAGTTGATATATTTCATCAGTTTACTAGTAAATAAAGGAAATACAGGAATATAGAAAAACTGTTATTAATCACAAAGAGAATAAATTCCCAGATGTAGTTGACAAAAACTTTAACGTGAAGAACATAAAAAATCTGCAAAAATCTTTACGAACAAAGTAGCATTGTCTCATAGACTATTTTAATAATTTAGACTTTTCGGGTGTTTTCTATCATATGCTTATAATTACCAAGTGTCCAAAAAGCAGCTTCCTTTTTGAAGAACTTGGAAATTTTACTGTTCATCAATAGCCCTGAGGTCCTTGCAAATATATGAAACTAGAACAGGTCAAATGTCATATGACTATGTTATTACAGTGGTTTGGGCTATGAAAAGAAAAAAGGACAAAAATGATAAAAGCAGAAGAAAGTTAAGAAGATCCTGGCAGCCATTTGGAATTGAAGAAAAAGGAAAAAAAAATACTTAGGACATAAGAATAGGCTTGATTAGAATGATTAAATCACCCAAATTTCCTAACACTAAAACCATATACTTACTGCTACTGCAATTCTTCCAAGGACATGTTCTGGAATTTTCCTATATACATCCAAAGATCCCCCTGTAGAGACAAACATATTGTGTTATTACAAGTGAAACTACCAAAAGAGGGCACGGGTCTCCTCCTCTGTGTATTCATTGTGAGAATCTGTTTTTCCTCTTCTTACATTATGCATTGGATTTTTAGAATAAAACTCGTTTTTGGTCAAATTTTAAGACATAATAATACTTCCAGATGAAATGTAACTAGATACTTCCATTTTATTCCCAAGTATATATAGTTATATACATGAAAGGGTTGAAGGAAACTAGTCAAGGAAAGGCTAAGAATCTGTACTTTATGTAAACTTAAATACATATACAAAATTATAAAGATCAATATGACAATCACATTCAGGTGTCTGCCTTGTTTACCAGTTTTCTCAAATGTAAACCAGGACACTATCTTAGAAT